GATGGCTTTGTAGCATAAATCATGTAGTTGACGTTTATATCCTTCAGAAATTGTTGATTTTGTATGAGGAACCTGTTGAGCTGTAATGATCAAATCAAGTTTATTATGCCGACGAATCAAATGATGACGAATCGCGGATGTTGAATGACCCGAAGTAGTACACGTGAAGTTGCATATTTTGCACGTAGCCGATTTTCCATCATCACCTTTCGTAGCATATTGCCAAACACGCGATGTAATCTTTCGGCCATTGGGATTATTATTATTATTTGAAGGCTGCATCGATGCACAGTTCACCGGTGACGTTGCGATAACGTCAACGTCTAGCGATGGTTCGAGTGTTTGATTGTTATCATTCAACAATGGTGACGAAGCGGTAATTGGTGTTGGAACAGTACGACAATTGTCTGCTGCTGGTGCTGACAAAATGTTATCACTTGTAAATGATTCGAGATTAGCATTGTTCGACGTCGAAGGTGCCATTGCCGTGTTTGCAATTGATTGAAGTACAGAATTGTCATTGTCACTGTTTGATACTGTCAGTACAATATTGTTATCAGAAAGCATTGATGTTTTATAGGTGTTGCTCAACGTAGTGGTGACTGGATTGTTTTCGTTCGATACAGGAGATTTTCTCTTCGGCAATGGTGTCAATGAATCGAAGTTTTCATCATTTTCAATTTCAAGAGCTGAACGAGATTTCGCGGCAGTTTTCCTCTTATTAGCTTTCATCGCTCCTGTATTTTATCTAAAGAAAAGAGGAATCCGACATATATTTATGCAGAGACTGTTACAGAGCTTCGATATATTCTTTTGGAAAGATTCTGTTTTGTTTACGAAAAGATAAATGCTTTTATATGCACCGAAGAAAAAGGAAAGAAAAATATACTATTCGTCTCTGTGAAGGAGGAGATGATATCTTCGATCCTTTGTTTACATGTGTCGATATCGAGGGGAGGAGAATCGGAGAGAGAAGATTTTGTGTCACCAAGTGGACGAATATTTGCCGTCCGCTTCATATACAAAGCCCTTTGTGATGTTCAATAGAGAATAAACGATTTCAAGCGGCACCATATGATAAGGAGTATGGAAGAAGGAATGTATTAGCAAATATAATTACATCGTCATCTTGAAGTCTAGAAGTAAACTTATGTGTAATTTTCTCGTTTCGGGAAAAAAACTAAAATAAATCACAGACAACGGACAATATGAGCTGAAAACAAAGAAGGCCTTTACTATGTCTTTATTCACATTTGACTAGGAAAACAATTATCACTTGGAAGTAGACTTATAAACATGTCATAGAAGTGGATCGAAATGATTTGTTTGAAACTTATATTTGAACACACAACTACAAATAGTTCTACGCTTACCTTATGCCAAATTATTCGAGATGACTACATGATTGCAAATTCTACTTCGGAGTCTGTTAAGATCCGTGTGCAAACATGAAAGTTTATATGATACTATACTTTCACAAGTCATGACTAACATCAAAAAGTATTATTAAAGGGTCATATATTTTTTGAAACAGATGTTATAATAAAAACGGTTACTGGCTCACGACGGTTACCGGTTCACCGTTTAATCGATTTGTAGCGGTAACCGTTAAACCTCATTTTCATCAGACCCGGTTATCGTTAAACCTCATTTACATTAGACCCGGTTATCGTTAAAACTCATTTTCATTAGACCCGGTTTTTGTTTAACCTCATTTACATTAGACCCGGTTATCGTTAAACCTCATTTTCATTAGACCCGATTATCGTTAAACCTCACTTACATTAGACCCGGTTATCGTTAAAACTCATTTTCATTAGACCCGGTTTTTGTTTAACCTCATTTACATTAGACCCGGTTATCGTTAAACCTCATTTACATTAGACCCGGTTTCCGTTTAACCTCATTTTCATTATACCCGGTTATCGTTTTACACCGGTTAAACGTCTACGGATAAACGGTGAACAACCGTTACCGTTGCACCCCTAGGCATGATGCCGTAGCTGATCTCCTCACCACATGGTCTATATCAAAACTGGCCGTGGTACTCAATTGTAGTCATTAATGATATGAGTGACATTTTGACCATTTGTATATGTTGATATAGTCCGCCATACTCAATCTTAGGCGGTTATGATATGGGTGATTGTAGTGACAGGCATGTCCCGTAAAGTGACATTTCCCTGATTAAGTTTTGAAAATTTTTTTCCTATAACAGCGTTTCTAAACACTGTTTCAGATGTGGTTTCAGCGCTGATCACGAATCTGGCGTTTATTTTATTCGTAGTCGACTTTTTTCTCTAAGAAAAAAGATTTTAAGCTCTTTGAAAATCATATTTTGGGTGGTCTCAGCAAAAATCTCCTTAAAACATGTTTTTTTACATGCCATTCGATGCAGAATTTGATTCTGTACAAAATGACATATTAAGGTTTGGTTTTGTAGCAAAAGGAGTTCGCTAGCTCCTTTCAAGTTCTCCACTTAGTGCTTCTAACATGGGCTTCTACATGAATATACTCATTCCATTTTCAGGTATAAATCATAACAGTACCGAGTAGACTTACACTTTAAAAAATCACTTCATTCTAAGCATCTTAAGGGTCTGAAAAATGTTCAGCAAAAATTTGTGTCACAACGTTACGAAAAATGTCGCAGCGTTACGTTGGTATTTCGTATTTTCTGTACGAAATAAAACAGTTGGAGGCAAATCTTTTTTAGCAACACAAAGCCCTTTAAAAGCTCTACAAAACACTGCTTTGTTATATTTGATTTGAATTGTATCTTATGAAAAAATTAACAACGAAAACGATGCACTGCAAGGCCAGGGTCTTTTTATGTCGCGCTGTTACGCGACTCTAAAATGGTCGAAGAAATACAAAAGCTCAGCCAAAATCTTTGATTTTTTTAATCTTTGATAGAGTTTGACGAGCTGTACCTACGAGTGCTTGAACGAAATCCATAACTTTCATAGTTTTCGAAAACTTTGAAGAATACTTTGTCAAAATGTCACAACGCTACGTTTGGACAAACCCTTAAGTTCTAAGGATTGTAGATATCGTTGTAACCACCTGAAGAGATCTTTGAATTACAATCGAAATCTCGATTATGGTGAATTTCTTTTTGTGTGAACAAACCCTCACCCCACACCTACACCCTCACTCACCCACACTCTCAAAGAGTATGCGTGAGGGTAAGGTGTAACTTTTCGGCGAAACGAGAACTAACCATTCACCTGCGTTCTTATCTGTACTTGGAATAAACCTAGTAAAAATACGAAACGATAAATACAATGCGTTGAGTATTTTTTTAACGTAGCAATAGACAACTTTCCAACATAGCTCAAAATGAGAATTTTTTTTCTTTCTTTTTTTAGAGTCAAAGTTTATATGAATTCTATGTATGATGCTGCAACAGATAAGAAACAACGTAACAAAATATGCAATGTCGGTAGTGGCGGGAGTAAAGAAAAAAGACGCATAATAATTGTCTTCTGTTTCGGATGTTGACTATGTAGTATGTATAAACCTCCTCCCATATTAGAAGACCTCCTCGAAATAGAAGACCCTCCTATATTACCAGTCCCCTTTGGACAAATGATTTGTAAGACTCATTACAAGACCTCGCATAAGACAAAACCGCCTGCCAATAGTGTCAAAAAAAGTATCTCAACATTTAAAATTTTGATATTCGATAAGAATCTCTTCTCCAATTCTATGCGTGTCTGATTCGGTCTTCTTTGACGAGTTTTCTGCTCCACATTGTTTTCAGTCATATATTTTTCTGATGCAAGACGAAAAGAAATCTACCAAAGCGAATCGTCTGCATAACGACAGAACGAAAAAAAAGGTAAGCAATCATTTTTTTCCTTCCAACTAGACGAAAACCTCATCATGTAAATAATGTAGTTTTAAGTGAAGTGGATTCAAATCATCATCTCTATGAATGGCGATGATAGACATTTATTTTCTTTCGTTGGTGGTGATAATTCGGAAAGTTCATGGGAGGATTGAGCGGATGATGATTTAATTGAGGTCGCATCAAATGTCGATAAAGAAGAAAATCATAATATTGATATCACTCGAAACTTAGCATGCAGTTCTGATGACAAGTTGCAATCGAATGATGATGGTGATGGTGGCAGTGATGAGGCTATTTGTTGACGAAAAAATAATTATGGTTTCACACGTGGTTCTGACAATAAGAATCTTTCTGTATCGGACGGCGTCGTCTGATTTAGATGCGTCAGATGATGATTCATTTGAATATTGTTCATTTAATTGCATCTACTCCTCCTTCATCATCTCATTCGTCATCGATAATGAAAGACAGTTCACAAGACCTCCCCCCCCCCCCCCCCCCCCCCTACGACAGCCCCCCTCCCATCCACAAGTTAAAGGCACTCTAAAAAAACTGGTGGGCTTCTCTTTTTGGGGGGGGGTTTGTATATGTTGTTTGTT